CTGCATCCCTGGGAAACGCCAGAAGTCTGGCAAAGATTACATATGGATTTTGCCGAGACCGCTGACGGCAGGAGATGGTTGGTGATAGTGGATGCAAAGTCAAAATGGCCTGAAGTGGTGCAAATGGAGTCAACCACGGTAGAAAAAACGATAGAAAAGTTGAAGCTCAAGTATATTCTTTAGAATTCATGGGCTACCAGAACAACTAGTGGTTGATAATGGGCCACAGTCCATAGCGAAGGAATTTAAGGAGCATTGTAGAAGAAGAAAAATCGAATTGATTTTCATTCCACCTTATCACCACAACCCTAACGGGGAGGCGGAAAGATGGGCGCAAGCTTTCAAAAAGGGTTAATATAAAGGGCAGAAAGCCGGTAAGACGTTAGAGGCAACTGTGAAAGATTTATTGTTTGAATATAGGGTAACGGAGCACCCGGTGACGGGGACCTCTCCGGCAGAAATGTTAATGGGACGTTCATTGAGAACGACGTTGGATTTGATGAAAGTCCCCAGTAACCCGATATTGACCCCCCAGATGAGGCAGATGAAGGAGCAGTATGTCAAGGGGGCGAAGAAAAGGAAATTCGAAGTAGGGCAGCAAGTGTGTTTGCGTAGTCATCAAAGGCGACATGAGAAATGGATTCCAGGGGTCATCCTGGAAAAAATGGGATCGAATATATACCGAGTGCAGTACGGCACCGGTAGTCGGATGGCCCATGAAGACCAGATAAAGAAGGTGACCTTCTGGGAGGAAGAGGAGGACCCTCAGAAAGGAAGAAGGCTGGCCGGATCAGGTGCGCCCAAGCCAGTGATAGGAGAAGTGGTTAGCCGGAAAAACTTAACGCGAAGAACAGCCAGAAAGAGAAAATGACGGAAAAGATGAAGTGTCATCTAGCGGAAACAAGATCGAGATGGGCTGGCTAGTACAGGGCGGCGTCGTCCCCTTCGGGCTGTCACAGGACTTAACGATGTACGGGGTCGTACCCGACTCCCGCAGTGGAATCCAGGGAAACCGTGGAGGAAGGAAATGGCCACCGTCAAATGGAAGATGACAAGGACAATGCTCTCTTGAGAGACCGATGGAATGATGTCCCGCTTAAATAAAGCGTTTTCAAAGATAAAGTGTTTTGAAGTGATGTTGAGTAAGTAGTACAGTAAGTGGCTGGGGCCTGTGGAGTTATCAAAGTGCTGGTAGAGTGACCGGACGGTCACTACGAGGGGATGTTGTAGGGTAGACTGATTTATGCTTAAGATGAAGACCAGCAAAAATGGACAACGGTTGGAAATGGCGTGCGAAGAAGGGAGATGGAGAAGATACAAGATGATCTAGAAGAGAGATAAAGGATTGTAGAAAAGTGATAAATGAGCAGTAAACATTCACTCGTCAGCGTGTTCTCTCGCCAATCAACTGCAGAGGTCAACGGAAAGAGAAAAAGCAGTTTTATGATTTGGGCAAAACGAAAAACGAAGTTTGTGGTTAAAACAACGGAGAAACTTCGATATAGACGATGTACTCCTATCGGATTGAGCTATCTAGGTCTCGAGAAATTGGAGTTACGAACTTTTCTTCGCGTCGAATTTCTCACTGTCAGTTCTCATTTCAACCCCCTCATTGTGGGCGGAGTCCGCTGCTGCCGCCCACCTTTCATGTTCCCATCGTGTCCCCAGTGCTCCTACCAAATTTTAAGACAATGTTCACGATAAAAATGGTTAATGAGTTCTTCCCCTAGGAATACTAAGTGGCCCCCAAGGGTAATAAAAAGGACCCTCTCGCGCCGAAAAACTCGACGGTTACGGTATAGTGGAAGCCCTGTTGCTAGCTCGCGCGGCCTTCCCGCCCTTGATCGATGTCACGTCAGACGAGTGCCGAGGTGATATAGATCGCATACTTTCGCTCTAGGATCCACACAGTCGTTCAGTTTTCTATCCCAAGAGGCTGAAAAAGGCGGGCTATTTTTGCTGTTACTAAGGGTTTTTGTTAACTTTGCGCTTATGAGTGAATGAATTTTTGCCTACCGTAGTCAGTTATTCGCATCAGGACCCACACGCACACAATGGCACTGTATAGCTCGTCCGAACGAACCTTTCTTCTTCATTTTTCTGTTCTCACTCTAGTCCAGCCTAATTTCCGGCGATTCTTCGAAGCCTTTTTTTTACTTTGGAAACACCGACACACGCAGTTTCTTCGCCTCCATCGCACCATTTTCTATCTTACCTTCCATTTTTCGTGGATTACCCAAAATTATCGTCAACTGTGCCTTTAACCCACTGACGACCATCATGTTTGGCGGGAAACGCGGACTCCACATGTGGACTGCATGGTCCCGAACGACCATTTTTTGAATTTTGAATTTAGAGTTGTTTAATTTTTTTCTGAAATCGCAAATTTTGGATATGACTAACGATGATGGTAGGCGGGACTTGAATTTTAGTCAGCTGATGGATTCTGATGAGGAGCAGTTTCTCAATCACTGATTCTTTTCAGGAGAGGAAATCATTAAAGGGCCACAAGTTTCTTCGAAAAAACACCGGTGCGGTGTAAAACTGTCTAAATTAGTGCGAAGGGTGGATATACCTCAAAAACCAAAAGCAAAAATATAGTACGATGTCTATGATTATTGTTATTATCTATAAAATTACTAAATTAGAAGAGTTCCTGGGACCACGCAGTATATAGTCTAACTTAGACCTGATTTTATGTTTTGACAGGAAAGAACGTTGAAAAGTGGCGATATAGATAAATAAAATAAAAATGCAACTGCAGTCTACATGTGGACTGCAGGGTGTCATTGGGTTAAACGCTCTGGATCCATGGGGACAGGAGTTATGAAGCTCCGTCTAAACACTGATTTCGCGCAAACCTCGCCTCCTGCGGGCGGAGTCAATCTTTTCACCCACCATAAGTGTTACTACCCTGCCGCCTGTACTCCCACTAAATTTAAATGCTCTAGGTCCAGTACGAGAGAAGTCATGAATTTACTGTCAGACACACAACGCATATACACACCAACGACACACTTTGCTGATTATATTATGACCCCTCCAAAATTTGGAAAATGTCAAGAAAACGACTCATTCATTTTGCTGAAAACTGATGTCTATCGGACATATAAGGAGAGGAAGAGCGCTGAGTGCAGAGCTTGTTCATTAAATGGATCAATCACCATATTTCTTCACCCCTTTATCGCTGTCAGCCCATTTGAGAATTTTTGAGAATCAGTTGGAATGTATAAGAATTTTATTCTATAAAAACTTTCAATTGATTGAAGTATATGGGCTTATGAACAGGGTTTTTTTTAAATGATGTACTACATTGTCACGGTACTGTAATCTCAGGTTACTGTGACGATCAGATTATCGAACTTTTCAGGCCGGATGAAGCTGTTGAAGCATCAGTTTAGATGATTTTAATTTTATGTCCCTGAACTCGAAAACGGTGCTATGGAATAGCTCGGAATATAAAGGAGGGAGTATAAGAAAGCAAATCTTCCACAACCGTGCAAGAGCTGGCAGACCCGAGGTGAGCATACCTACAGTTTCAAAGTGTCTTAAGAGACTTTAACGTGTTTAAAGTCAGAATTCTCTATTCCCGGAGCCTCGACGGAATATAGTTCCTCTAGACCAAGCGGAAGCTGCTTTCGTCTCTTTTTACGCAACAACTGCTCAAACGATGGGGTAGGATACATCGCCTGCTGCCGTTCCTAAGAAAGTGAGACTGTCCTTAGTTTGAAAAACTCAAATAGTTCCAAGCCATCACAAATCAACTTAATTCGTCAAAGTCCCTACATGCATACGTGGCGGTCTACATGGAAATGAGTACTTGTCATCAATTAGAAGATGCGGACACTATGGAGCATAAAACCTACTTGCTCTCGTTTGATGTCTCGGAGAGCTCTTGTCCTTCTCGCTCTCGAGCCCGACTACTCTTTGTATACCGACTCTATAAAAAAAAAACGACGTGTACGGGGAATGTTATAGGTTGTTCAAAGGACACTCCCAAACGTTTCAAGACAACAACACCCACTCTCACAGCTGGTGGTTCATATACGCTCTTGAAATCCCTTTTCTTCAATCCTGTTCCTGCATAGAACTTTTCTGGCATACCAAACTGGGAGTGTAATAACTTCCTCTGCCTGAACTCTGTGAATGAGAATGAAGCATCTGGTAAAACATGCATAGCCCACAGTTCGCAGCAATTATCAATGCTGTATAGTTAGAGTTGTCTTTGAGCAATCGAATAAAACCGATAAACCTTTAGACCACATTCAGAACACGCACGTTCAATACATCAACTTGCCTGTTAAAACGTTGGAAATGCTCAAAGCTTTTATAGTCTATACCCACGTCAGTGTACTTCTTTGTTGCAGCTAACGTTGATGTCCGACAGTCATAAGAACTACTGAACATAATCCGGCGTAGTACTGCTAAAAACAGAACGACTTTAATGAAGCTCATGTGAAAGTTACAGTCTTCATTGAACGGATGCTTAGGTTCCCCTCTTCTATATCGTCTGCTGCTGCTCCATCCGCAAAAATTATTATTTCATGCAAAGTTACTACCACAGCCAAGCCAAAACAAGGCTTTCAATGTTATCATCAGTTTCAGAAATACGCACCTGTCCTATAAAATCTACTACAAAAAACTTCAGATCAGGCGACCTTCGCATCCTTGTCATGTCATACACCTTATGCTTCTCATCTGAGCCTAAGACTTCATAAGCAAGGATACCTTGCCTTGAAGCAGAAATGAAATTTATTATTTTCCCTATTATAGAAGCAAACTATAGAAGGTAGCCTTGACTTCCATCCATCCGGTTCGGTCAACTGGTACCAAACCTCCGAGAGGATAAAAGCACTGACTTGCACATCGACTGGCCGCGGCAAGCCATTGTATAGGCCACGCACGCATTCAATACGCCCTACGACTCTATAGAATAGGAAATAGAAGTCGAATGCGCGGCGCATCCCCCAGTCATGATCGATTAACTCCTAAATACTTTATCCTCATCATCCCAATCCCAATTCGAATAGTGAGACCACAACATCCGCCAAGCACGGAAACGGGACGGAAACAACATTCAATTGAAAGATAGCGACAGATAGTAAAAGAGGGAGTGTCGCAGTCAAATGAAGCTTTTATTTACCGCACCGTAAACCCCACAACGACTTTCCGAAGGGTTCTGCCATGGGAGCGCCAGTTTCGAACTATTGCAGCATCTAACTGTGAATAGAGGATAGAAGGAGAAAGTAACTATTGCGAAACACACTGATGCTCGAAATGCTTAGTTATTCAGTGTGAACTTGGAAATTTTCTTTGAAATACAGAACCCCGAGAACAACTAGGCCTGTTTACAAAACATTTCTTTAGGAAACTGCAAATCGAAAATACCTTTGCAGAAGCCTCAGGCTTACCCCAAGCACAGCATAGTATTGCACGACCACTTCTGATGCAAACTGACAACAGGTTGGACGTAGTGCCAAGACCAAGCGTCGTCGGAGCGTGCTCGTGGAGCACTGCTGCGAATAGATTAATTCATGAATGGATCTGAAAAAGTTTGACGATAATAACCTAGCTACAACCGGAGTCTAGATTCATGATCTGTTATTCATCCACTATTCAATCGTGCATAAATTCGATTCATTATGAAGCATACAACACTGCGATATTCCATTGATTACCAAATCACCACAAAAAAAGAAGGCACATAAAATCGGAGAAAAAGAGTACTTTCTTTAGAAACGTCTACATCGATAAACAGATTTCTGCGTAGCAGCTTTTCGCAGCAGGAACCCCCGTTGGCAAAGTGCCAATGGTTCCCACAGCGTAAAGCACGGGATTCGGTATACGGACTAGTTCAGAAAACTGGTAAGGAAAAGTTCAGCAAGGAAAGAGTACGGTCTATGCCGGTCATCAGCTCTCGGACGATGATGAAGTTGAAATATTCCACTATTTAATTGTCTCGGACCCTTCTCGCAAAGCCAAGAGAAGGTGTTGGACACAACCTCCAAGGAAATCTAGCTCAAGAGAAAGAAGGTCAAGCTCGCTGTACTGAAATATTCGGGGTCAATGACAATGGTGAAATCCGCCGTCTTCGTTAAGAGTGGCAATCGCCGTCATGTGGAGTTGTGTTAAGGGCTTCATGAAAACCGATACTACTGTGGCCCTGGCATGGTAACTTCGTCGTGGAAAAGCCAGTGATCACCTCGAAAGAGAAGGGCGACAAGGAAAAAATACCTTGTTATTATTGATAGACTTTGTTATTAAAAAACCCAGAAATCCGAAATCCTATCATGCAGTAGTTATTAGTACCTTTCGCCATTTGGTCATTTTTTTTTTGAAACAGTAGAAGAACTTTAGGTCTTTTAGGCATATTTATGTGCATGATTTCCTGACCTATAATCTGCAGGATTATACTTTCTGCAACTCCGATTTTCAGGGATGCAAGGGTGAACGTGTGATACTGCCGAGAGTAGAAAAAAGGTCACCCGAACTGCGCTAGTGTTTGCTAAAAATGAGAATGAGTTTGAAATATTAATGCGAGTTTCGAAAATGTCCCTTTTCTCGCTGAACTTTTCCTTACTAAACTTCAGTCACATAGTCCGTGTACCGTATCCCAAGCTTTTCGCTGTGGGAATCACTGGCACTTTACCAGAGGAGTTCCGGCAGCGAAAAAGCTTGGCAAGGCGCCGCGGCCATGCAGGAGCAAATCTTGCGGCCTAACAGAGCAGACAAACTACCACAAACTCACTCAGTTGTATCTGGAAGTTTCATGAGATCTATCACAAATTTTCAAAGATTTGAACCATCNTAACCTTTCAACCCAATGGCGGCTTTCGCCCTTACCATCAGATGTCGGCCTGTCCGAAAGCTCTCGCCAGCATTTTTTTCTACTGTTCGATGGTAACTTTGCTTGGAGCTTTTATTATCCATTCAATTATATTTATAAAAAATATATCTATGTATATAAATTGACGGCACGTCGGCATGTACACACGGCTAAGAGTAGGCCCCCACGTGCAAGAGCCTGGCAAGTTACACGTGGATATTCATGCCAAAAATAGTAACAGAAATGGGCCTCATTCCCCTGAACCTGAGGGAGCCCCCAATACGGCAGCGTTGGGTAGGACCGCTCGGGAGAGGCTGCTAAAATCTCAGGGCCAAAATAGGTTGCCTAAAAGGAGAAGTACTAAGGAGAAGGATCTGTACTTTCAACGCACAGACGCTTGCATCGGAAGCGTGTATAGAAGACCTGATGATGCAAGCTAAGAAAATCAAGCACGACGTCATCGGAATAACCGAGACGAGAAGGCACCGCCCGCTGTACGCTGTATTTGAAACTGGAGAAGAACTGTTCCTTGGAATATGCGACAGCATAGGCGTCGGCGGTGTAGGTGTCCTCGTCTATACGCACTTGGCCATGAATATCATCGATTCGTACGAAAGCTTGACAACCCGAATAGGGCGTTTGCGATTGAGAAGATGTGGCTCAACCCCGGCTCTAACAATCTTCGTTGTTTACGCACCAGCATCGAGCTACGATGAAGAAGAGCTGGAGGCGTTCTATATGGATCTGGAGGAAGCTCTTCAAAGAAGACCATACCTTCTTCAAGGTCATCGTCGGTGATTTCAGCGCCAAGATTGGCCCCAGAAGAACGGCTGAAGAGCTCCACATCGGGACTCACGGAATGGAATGGAATGAGCAGGGTGAAAGGCTGTCCGAGTTTATCATGTCGACCCACACTATCCATGGTAACTCGCAGTTCCAGAAGCCCTCTCATTCCCGATGGACAAGGGAGTCGCCTGATGGGCAGTTCCATAATGAAAAAGATATCGTCATCGTCAATCGGAAGTTTTGCCACACTGATGTTGCTGTTGTTCCGAAGTTCTACACGGGATCAGACCATCGTCTCCTAGATTAGATTCCGCTTTCCAGGTGCGTGGAAAAAGAGCTGTGAAGTTCAGGAAACGAAGCCCCAAGACTGTGGTCAATTGGGATCACTTCGCTTCATTGGCGAGTTTGTCGGGAGACTCCGTCAGAGACAACATCGATGAAGAATACAACCGGCTCGTCGAACAACTTCACGATTGCGCCAGGAGAGCTGAGAGTCTCAAAGATGTCAAAATACGTCTCCCTTCGAAGACTCTTGAGCTGATACGCCAGCGTGGAATCGTGCGAGCTGCAGGCAATAATCAGCTAACGTCCGAACTTGCGAAGCGATGCAGAAAAGCGATAAAGGAAGACCTAAATGAGATAAGAGCAGCAGTTTTGGCAGAAGCCGCCGAGGCTGGGAAGAGCATCCGCAAAGCCCGCCGGAGCTTCGTCAATTATAAGAGCAAGATCCCTTCGTCTTCCTGACGGAACTGTTACGGCATCCCGAAGGGCCATGGAGAGGGTCATCTACGACTTCTATTCTGATCTCTTCGACAGCCACGTCTACAAGCCCACCTGCCATCTTAGGCAAGACGGATACGTCGTCTCTTCAGTGTTCCCTTCCGAAACTCGACATGCCATCACGTCGATGAGGAATGGCACGGCACCCGGCCCAAAAAGGATCAAAGCAGAACATTGATTCCGCCAGTCATTGCCAAAACCTTGGCCCGGTTTTTCACGCGGTACCTGTCGCAATGCAAAGCGCCCACTTCGTGGAAAACTAGCAAGACCGTGTTGCTGTATAAGAAGGAAGATCCAGACGGCATCGCAGTTATCGCCCAATTTGCCTGCTGTCTGTAATCTGTGAACTCTTCACACGAGTCATCCTTGACAGGATTCGCAGAATATTGGATGAAGGGCAGCCATGCAAGCAAGCAGGGTTTCGGAGAGGGTTCAGTACAATCGATCACATCCTTACCGTTATAAGAGTCATTGAAGTTTCGCGGGAGTACAAAATGCCGTTATGTCTCACGTTCATCGATTTGAGAAAGCTTTTGATACAGTCGAGACAGAAGCGGTAAATGAAGCCCTGGGGAACCAGGGTGTCCCTGCTCAATATATAAGGATGTTTCGTGAGCTCTATAACAACTTCACGACCAGGATCTCGCCATTCTATAAAGAAGTCATCATCAACGTGAAGAGAGGGGTTGGACAGGGCAATACCATCTCGCCCATAACTTTTCGGTGCCGCTTCGAGAACGTCATGCGTCATATGGAATGGGAAAGCACGGGAGTGAAGGTCGACGACCGCTTATTACATCATCTCCGCTTTGCAGATGACATCGTGCTTATAACACCCACCATCGACCAGGCGGAACAAATGCTGGCCGAATTCGACAACGCTTGTGAAAAGATCGGCTTGAGACTGAACTTAACGAAGACGATGTTCATGCGAAACGGATTGGTACCTGATGCTCCTTTCGTGCTGAACAGAACGAGTAGCTCTGAATGCTCCAGTTATGTGTATCTAGGTCGAGAAGTCAACATGATGAACGACCTAGCTCCGGAGCTGAGCAGACGGAAACGCGCATTCTCTGAGGCGCTCAATGTTCTTAAATGCGTGGGGAGCATTTGAGAACATCGAGCGCCTCAGAGACTTGGACTCTGCGAAAGCAGGATGAGTATGCAGTTAGCGTCATTCAACGCGCTGTGGAAAGGAATTTGGAAACTCGGAATTTCCCTATACACGCAAGTGCAGAAGGGAATCCGGAGTTCCGAGCTCCGTCGACGAACGAAGATCAGGGATGCCGTTGATTATGCCAAGAGATCGAAGATCTGGTGGGTCGGACACGTTATGCGATATAATGATGACCGTTGGACCAGGGACTGGATCCCTCGGGACGTCAAGCGAAGACCAGGACGGCCGCCAACAAGATGGTCAGACTTCTTCACGGAAGCACTGAACGAAAGGAATGTTTTGCCCCGTGTCCCTGGAGCGAGTGCGATTCACTGGACTACTCTGGCTCGGGGCAGGGACGAATGGATACGTTACTGGGGCCCGCTCGAGGAAACCGACGATCAGCGAGAGTACAGGTGGTGATACAGGTGAACCCAATGACTGCTCTCATAGTTCGCCGGCTGGGGGACTACCACGCCCGCGATATAGACCAAATTCAGTTGTAAATAAGTGACAAGCGCTGCCCCTGCCAGCGCGCGCGGTTGGCCTTCGGACTGTGAAAGCAGCCAACAACCTTATAGTACAGAGTGTAGCCCAGGGATGACTGCGAAGGGTGCAGACCTTTTTGGCCTTTTTGTTTTGCCATGGGTCAGATAAGTGATACTGGAGAAGAGAATTTGACGCTTCTATTACAAAGGGAGCAAGGGGTAGTTGGGAACTAAAGGCCGTGTTTCTTGAATGAACAGAACTAAATTGCGAAGGGGATATTTGCCCTATGAAAGCACTCCAACAAATTAGAGGAAACCTAAACCTTAAGAACGCTCAGAGAAGTGGCAGATGGTTAGGATGTTCTAAAAGGCATGGATAGGCGGGTGGATAAGTGTGTATGCTCACGTCTGCACTCAGAGGGAGCGAGAGTTCGATCCCTGTCGACGCAGCTACATGCCCTGCAAAAATGATATCGGTACAAGCGTCAGGCCCAAGATGACAGGCCGACTGATGGAGATACCTAGTCACAATAAACATGTCTGACGTCTCAAAGGTACCAGTGATGAAGCTAGGACGTCACCCAGAGGGGGCCAACAGGACCTCCGCCCGAGTTCTGTGGACAGAATGCGAGGGTTACCGACGATTGAACGATCTCGGCCAAAGAAGTTAGTTCGAGTTGGGACTCTAAATGTGGGATCGCTTACTGGGAAGTCTCGAAAGTTCACTGATCTTATGAAGCGCACGAACATCTAAGTCTTGTGCCTTCAGAAGACCGGTTGGAAGGGAGCAACGGCCAGAGAAATTGGAGAGGGTTTTAAACCCTTCTACAACGGAGAAGGCACCAAACGAAATTGTGTGGCCACAGCAGTGGCAGGTTCCCTCGACAACTCTGTTTCAGCCGTCGACAGGATCAGCAGTCGAATCACGGCTGTGAGGATAGACACGGAGGGGTAATGAACAATGACATCAGTGTACGCAACACAAGCCGACCGCCCTGTCAACGAGAAGGATGAGTTCATATGAGCCTCGACGAGGCCATTCGATCAGTTCCGGGAGGTTAATATCACACCATAGGAGATGATCTAAATGGGCACATTGACAGTGAAAGGATGGGACTGGAAAGGGTTCAAGGAGGTAGAGGGGTAAGAGTCAGAAACGAAGAAGGAGAGAGGATCCTTGCCCTGGCCATAGCCCACGACTCGGCAGTCTACAGCACCTTTTTCGCGAGAAGGAAGTCTCAGAAGGTAATCTACAGCAGCGGAGGGAAAGGAACCGGAAATAGATCATGCGCTAGTAAGAAGATTTCTCTCAAAACTGCAAGGACATCAACGAACTGCCTGGAGAAGATCTGGCTTCACAGCACAGGCCTCTCCTAGCAGACATGGCCAACGATCTTCCCAAGTAATCAAGTAAAATAACGGAGGATTCGGTGGTAGAAGCTGTATCGATTCGAAAGAGAACACTCTCAAAGAGAAGATACTGGAAGCAGGCCTTCCAGATCCCGAAGGACCGACCTAACAGGTCTGGAGCAACACTGTAAAAGTCATCTGCGATGTGCAAAGGAAACGCTGGGGAAACTCAAGGTATTTCCGAGGGGACAAGGAAGCATGGTTCTGGAACGATGAAGTCCATCGAGTTGCGAGGCAGAAGAAATCGGCCTACAAACACTGGCAAAGGACACGAGCCCCAGAAGACCTAGCTGCCTGCAGAACATTCAAGAAGCTCGCCAAGGCTGCTGTAGCGAAGGCAAAGAACACTGAAATAGATGCCTTGTTTGAGAAACTTGACGGTCGAGAAGGAGATAAGTTCGTGTTCCGTCTGGCGAAAGCGCGTCACGGCGTCATCCAGGACATTGGAGCAGTGAAGTCCGTCAGGAACAGCGAGGGTGCAGTCCTGAGGAAGTCTGACGAGGTCAGGCGTAGGTGGAATGAATACTTCGACGGACTCCTTGACGAAGAATTCGCCCGTAAGAACAGCTCCTAATTAGAGGCAACGGTTGGCTCCAACAAACTCTGGACAGAGAATGAAGTGCGCAGAGCAATAGGAAAGATGAAGGTTAGGAAGGCAACTGGTCCGGATGGAGTACCGATTGAGGCATGGAAGGCGCTCGGAGAGCCCGGGATAAAGTGGTCCACCCGATTCCTGAACACTATGTCCGCTAAAGGAAGAACCAGATGCGTGGAGAAGCAGTACCATCGTCCCCTTCTTCAAGCAGGAGGGGACGCGATTAAGTGTTCTAACTACCGGAGAATCAGATCGACCGCTCACACGATGAAACTGTACGAGCGGGTGGTCGAACCAAGATTGAGAGGATTGCTCCAATTACGCAGGAGCAGTTCCAGTTCATGCCTGTTAGGTCTAAAACGAATGCCATCTTTGTAGCTAGGCAGAATACGGAAAAGTATCGAGAAAAGCGTAGGTCCTGCTAACTAGCTTTCCTAGATCTTGAGAAGGCACTCGACCGTCTCCCGCGACAATTCCTCTGAAGAGCGCTGCGAAAACGAAACGTTCCAGAACATATGACCTCTCTAGTCAAGGACATGGACGATGACTCGAATTGTCTCTATTGAGGTACATCAGGGATCAGCTCTGAGCCCGTTCCTCTTCCTGCTCCCAATGGAAGTATCACAAAAGAACTCATGGGTGGGCCACAGGAGACCATCCTCTACGCTGATGTCATCGCTCTGATAGCGGAGAGCAGGGAAGAACCCCAGGACAAGCTCCAAAAATGGTAGAAAGCGCTAGCGGAGAATGAACTCTGACTCAACGTGAAGAAGACCAAATTCCTCGGCTCCGAAGAGGCATGGAGTCAATCACGTGTCAAGGGGTAGCCATCGGAAAGGATCAGGAGTTCCGATACCTTGGTAGTAATCTAGACGCTGATGATGGCGTGGACCAGGCCGTAAAGTCCCGAATAAACGCAGCATGGAGGAAATAGAGGGGCGACGGTGCTCTAGGACTCTAAAGGAAAGGTGTACCGGACAGTGGTAAGGCCCACAATGCTCTACGGCAGCGAGTGTTGGCCCATAAGTAAAACCCATGAAGGATAGCTTCACTCCGCTCAAAGAAGAATGCTCAGATGGGCCTGCGGCAGGACGAGGCGATTGGTTCAGAAATGAAGATGTGAGGCCGGTTAAGCAAACAGCCCCAGTTCAACTGAAGATGAGAGAGCAGCGGTTGCGATGGTTCGCTGAAGTGACGGCAGTAGATGCCATAGATAGAATGAAAACGCAGGATTACGCTAGAGAGAAGAAAGAGAAGAAGTTAGGATGTTCTACGAAATGTTCTTGAAGGGTGTGGGAACTTAGGAATGAGCACTCAGTTATCGCGCACTGAAGTACAAAGTAACCTCAAATAAATGCGAAAGTTTAATGGTGCCGTTCTGCCCCCATGCCATCATCAAGAGGGTAAGAAGTAAGCGAGTGGAGAGGATAGTAAGGAAGTGAAGAATTCAGAAAAATGGCCTTCAACTGATAAAATCTGTACAGCAGATATCGGATAAAAAGTTGATGTTGTGGTTGCTTATTTTTAAAAGTCATCAAATACCACTTGGCGGAAGAGTTGGACTATTTAACTTCACACAAACACTTATGTTAGGGCTTAATTCAGCACTGTGAGGAGAGGGCAAGAACTGTACGAGCACCGATCCATTCAACAGCACTTAGTCTGCTTTTACACTTCTGCACCATCCTCAGCTCGGGAACCTTACATTTCAGGTATCCTTAAATCCACTATGCTCCTCAATGCATTTGCTTTCAGCACTGCAATCCTCATTTTGCAACGCTTCACATCTCCTTATTTTTACTCCTCGTCGCCCCCACTAACTTGCTTTTGGTAGATATTCCTCTCCCCGAATCGGCCGCATCGAAACATCTCTTTCCTTTGCAGTGTCCACTTCAACCAATGGTATCCACATAAATCTTGTCCAACAACATCCTTCTTCTCTAGACGCTGGACTTTTTTATTGTTGCGCTATCATCATACATTCTCAATTATTCTCCTTTCACTCGCTAATTTAAGATTTGAACTGCATAATGAGCACTTAGTTTTTGCACCTAGCGATAAGTGACTCTTCCGTGCAAAAGTTTGCAACCCCTTTTTAAGACAGGGATTGTCTTTAAAAAATGAAGAGCAAATGACTAGATGGTACACGATTACAACTGTTAAGCTCGACGGCACCCCATTCAGGATAGAACTTGGGAGCCAAGAATAGCTAGAGAATACAAATTTGCCTGGAGTACAGGCATCAGGATGTCAATACTTGTGTTGGGAAACGGGACCAAAATCCGCTCAGAAGGGGCGAGGTTCGCGCGGAATAAATGATTGGGCGGAAACTCGCACCTCGTGTCCCCGTGGACCTGAAGAGCTTGAACTTTGTACGAGTACAGGTGACATAGTGGGAACACTGATGATAGGTGGTAGGTCTAGACTTCGCTCAAAGTGGGTGGAGCGTGCGTGAAAACGAGCAAATCGGACTTCGGGCATCCAAATTTGCTAGGTATACAGCCGGTGGGATGGGACCAGACTCCGCCCAGAGTGAGCGGGTTTGCGCGAAGTAACCGTTCGAGCGGGATAATATAATAATATTTATTACATGCAAGAGTACATGTAATTAGAAGTGAACATTGGAAATATAAAGCAGTAAAAGCACATAATACTAACTCAGTATGCAACACTAACGCAAACAGCAAAAAGAAAAAAATTAGAGGTAGTATAGCTCCAGAGGTCACAATGGAGGTAACGAGATAACAAATTTCTAAAACATGGAAGAGTCCGAGGAATGCACAGCCTTTTACTCATTCTGGAATATTCTAATCCTGCACGGAACGTGAAGAAACTCCGCCTAAGAGAAGAACTTGGCCGAGGGAGAAGAATTTTGAGTTTACTTTCTCTGGTGGTAGAAGCAACCAAATGAAAGAAATCGCTGGGTTTGAGACCGACTAAGCCGTTGAGAATTTTAAAAACCATAATTAGGTCGTTTCTTCTCCTCCTCAAAACAAGAGAGTCAAGATTGAGCATCTTGTTCCTAATTATGCTGCGCGGAATAATTCTATAGGAAAATCCTAAAGCGCGAACAAAAACTTTCCTAGTAAAGCTGTTTTGAACCTTCTCAATCTTGTGCACTAAGGTCTTCTTCGTTGGACAAAAACACAAGTGCCATATTCAACTATAGGCCTCACGTAAGTCTTGTATGCCCGAATGAGAAGGGAAGGGCTTCTGGAGCACAAAGACTTGAATAAAAGGTAGAGCCGCTGATCAGCTTTGTTCGCAATGTAACAGCAATGTTTTTCAAAAGAAAGTTTGTTGTCAACGATAAACCCAAGATCTTTGACTGCATCGTCAGATGTCATAACTCCTGTTACTGTGGACCTAGAGCGTCCAGACTACACGCAGCAGGATGNGGGGGGGGGGTTACGTGAATTCTTGGACTTTGCGTCCCTGAGCAAAAGGTTGGAGAGCAGAGAAAAACACCGCCGTTGGGTGCAACCTAGGCGTTCATATTTCCACGTTTAGTATGAGCTCGACAGATGGAGGGTGAGATTTTCCAGATACTAGACATGAAAGAGTTTCATTACCCAGATCGGATGTTACTGAACTTATACAACATTTCGATCCTTCATAACAACCCGACTACTTACCCACATAAAGGCAACTTCTCCATCTTTACCTATGCTCCAAGCAAACACAAGCAGAATCCCACAAATCGCGGAGTAGCATGTGTAAGACGATTAGCGCAGTCTAACTATCCAATCGTAATGCATAAAAATGATATTCACTCAAGCGGGCCTGTGATTGACGGTGTACGCCCATACAAAAGAAGAACTTGAGAGAAAACGTGAACTTAGCCTGTGCGAAAGTGGAAAGCTCGAGGCTACAACCCACCATTGGAGCGCTATACCTCTTTCATATCATAACTCTTAATTAGAAAGGTTCAGACACTATATTTAGGAATTCTGCAGGACAAGAACTCCAACCTGACAGAAAATATCCGCAGAGATCGTATCTGGTCCAAAACAGTCTCTCCACAAGAAAGATTCTTTATTTGTAATCACCCCAGGTGAAATATATTACAACGAGAAACAACATAGGACAAACAGAATGAGATCAATGCGATTGTAGCGCTTACGGAATTTCGCCCAAGAAAATACGTTTGTCACTTCCAGCGGATAACACTGAAAAGGCGCCCATTTACTTTAACCTTGCCACTCATTCAATGGAAAGACAAGGACCTTGAAGACTTACATATGGGTTCAGTCGGATGCAAATCGGAGGCATTAACTGATCCTAGATGTCCTGGCATTTTATAAAGTATATATCGAGATGAGGCATCCCTTACATACGCAAATCGATCACTTGAGCCAGCCGCAACACGTTTGCCATCACCAGACCACCCACATTTCAGCAAATTCTATAAGGGAAGTGAAACAGTACGATGGTAATTTCACTAAACAAAGAAAACGAAGCAACCTTTTCAAAGTTGAATTAGTGTCCATAAAACGTTTTCACTCAACGTTCTTGTGGTGCAAACGCAAACGGTCTCATATCTCATATTCTTGCTAAAATGAAAAGTGAACATGAAATTTTGCACGAAAGTGTATAAAAGGATGAGAAAAAAGAATAAATTGGGAAAACAGAAATCTTCAAGAACACGTTCTGAAAGTATATGACATTCCCAAACACTTTTCAAACGTTTTCTACATGAGCATAGTCATTTTGAATGTGAATTCCAACAGACACTGAGGCATGGAGTGTTGACGCGTGAAGTGCGGCACGTGAAGTGCAGTGTTGAAATTCTTTATATCGAAGCTGAGAATAATCTCAATATTTCATCGTGCTCAACCCCCATGCTAATTTATGAGATTTGCAGATATGAGGAATAAAGGATCGGACCTGAGCAACCTATACTACTAGACAACAAGAAGTTGCCATTCGAACTGAGCGGCAAACCACAAATAATGAACTTGCGACCATGCATGACATGGGAGACCTCGTCGCGTCTAATATCCATCACTGAAAAAGGTTACTTAGGCCCATCCTTCAGCGTCCCAACTTGATTTCGTTATGTTAGCCGATACTTTATTACTTACTATATTTAGTTGTTATTTAGTTACTTACTTGTTTCCCGATATGCAGCTGATTTCGCAGTCTTGCCCACATAGCCTCATGTGCTCGTAGAAGGTGCATGAGCCTTTCCTTACCAAACATTTGTAACAATGTCTTTTCCAATTTTCTGTCTTCCGTTTGATCGATCTGGAAATAAATGTTGTGACACATTATTCATATCATCATGACACGAGTTTGTTTGCTCACTTACCACAGTTTGACATCTACCCTGTGACTCGTCGTTGAATTGGACCGATGATTTCCCCCAATAATAGGACGAACACCGTTTGCTTCCTGCGCATGAGCCAGTCGCATGAGTCGTATTCGACCTCCTTCATGTTTCAGTACCAGTACCACGAGATTACTCTTTTCATAGGCATCGCTGTACGCCACAAATAACAGTCAGCAAAGTGTTTGCGTTTGGCGGCACATCGGCTAGATCTTTTCGTGTTAGGTAGTCATCCTGAGCATAAGTGTTTCTACAGGCATATCTAAACTGCGGATTGAATTCTACTGTTCTTATAAGATTTAACATGTACCTGGTAACCCAGAAACATCAACCGACTATAGCGAAATACACTGAGTAGGTCCGCGAATGCATCCGAATTCTTACCAGGAACGAGGCCAGGAAAACGAGTCTTCACGTTCAAGGAACGAAAAACATTAGTGGCCGTGTTCACGGCTCCTACATCAATTTTTATTTTTTTTTNTTTTTTTTTCACCACAGGCATTCCAACACCCTTTTGCTTCGAGTAAGAGTCGTCGTCCTTGAACTTCAGCATTCGAGAAAATGTACAGGGATTTGAAGGTCGGTGGATGAGACTGAAAAATAATTGTGCGACGGCTTGCTCTTGCTAAGAGCTTGACCACTTCAGTCAACAACGATACCGAGGTGTGGGACGCATTTTCTACATAAGCATTCTTTAGTTGACTTTGTGCTAGTACAACTAGTACAATCCTTCCTCTAGTTCCAGAATTTATTCGCCTGCCTGAAGTAATAAAATATCCGCTAAATGAAAAGGATGTGAATGAAAAGGAGTGGTTTCTTGCCAGTATTTTTCGTTTGACCCTGAATAGGACCAGAACTTCATTTGTTGTCCTTGGTTTGTAGAGTGCCACCTACCGCAACGTTCAGTATAAAGATTGGGGTGCCTGCTACTATGGTTGAATAATCGACCGAGTACCACTGCACCTTTGTAGATCTGACTGGGTGCCAAAAACTCAGCTTTGAACACAGCTTTGGGTTTGTTATCGATACGTGCTGAAATTTCGAAAATTCATGAAGAGTCCAGGAGTCACATATACAAGGTAACGCCTTTCACTTACCAAGAAATTCTACTATATAGTCGCAAACTTAAAGACGTTCTGCCGTGTTCATTTTGATTTCATTTCTTCTAAGTCCTCCTTAGTCACGAATGTTCCTCTGAAAAATATACTGCTACCTACCCGAATGGTTATCGCGTTTCCTCGATAAGAAATTGAGAGTTGTCTACGTCACCTGTAATCGCTCACTACTTGTTCTTCCTGGGTATTCACTACATCAAATAAGCCTTCCCCATTGATGCTTGGGATATCGCGTACATTAAGCCAAGGGAAAGCCTTCAATTGGGGGATTATTGATGCTGAGTTTGTCTTACATATAGAAACATAGAGCCAATTACTTGAATCGGTTGAGCTACTCGCATAGATTGAAACATTGTTGCTCGTATTCATCTTGGAAGTATCCGTCCATTTGAGTGGTGCTTGCTGTTAAATTCTCGCATACGTTCTAGCACATTTGCAGGATTAGCGATCTCTGGCAACCGGCAGGCATAGCGTTCTCGTTTCCTCGCTTCCTTTGTTGGAATTGCGCCTTTGCGACAGCTCCTCGAGCCAACACTACACTTCAGCTTCACTGCTAACTACTACTGATGTCGCACTAACGTGTGCTACCGTGGCCTCCTGTGATACTGATCGGTACTGGTAGGGACAGCTTTTCTGTCACTCTTTCGGCTTGTACGTCTGCTGCCACCAAAGTTTCCGTACTCATTGTCGCCGCTTATTTCACCCATTTGTCCAGTGGTGTCGCCTTTGCTTGGGCTTAGTCTCATTTTTTACTTTGAGGTTTTGCTAATGCTGTTGAGAAAACATCTGAATTGTGTTGAACAGCATCAATATAGAAGGACTCGGTGCAGATGACAAAGTGGACGCACCTGATGAATTTGCTCGAGGTTTATCTCTAATAGGTTCATGGGTTGTAAAGTCATTGCCGGTATCATTGTAGACCGGTAAGTCCGATGGAGAATCACTATCGAGGTCGCTGGAACTTTCATATTCTTCCTCTTCTTCATCCGCTGTACAGATCTAGACCGCATTCTTTCTTCCACTTACACTGTATATAAGGAATATCTTTTTCAGCGAATCTGGCTGGCTGAGGCTTACATTTTCGAGCGCATGTGTTTTCGTATTCCATACGTGCAACTCCTCGTCTTGACTGAACCAACGAAGATCAATGGAAGCAAACATTATCGGCAAGTTAAAGATCAAGGGGTCTAATTGTGACAGCTTAATTCAGATCTCCACAACCCAGCTTTGAAAAGAAACCACCCTCTGCTCACAAGGTTTCCCGTAGTGATAAAACCATTCCTTACAGTTTTCATCGACAACGAATCAGCCACCGCTTTTATTTGTGGGTTAGCGTACCCTATTGTACTGCTTCGGTAGTGGATATCTGCCAACCTTGGTCACCTAATGAAAACGTTGGCTTCCAAAAATCCAAAAAACGCACTTTACCTACCCTAAACTATTCCGACTTCCACAGGTTATCACCACTGGATCTCACATCTTAAAGACAATTCACGATAATCTTGGGTAATCCAGATTATGACGAAAAATGGAAGGTAAGATGGGAGAAGAAACTGCGTGTATCGGTGTTTCCAAAGTGAAAAGTCTTCGGAAAATCGTTGAAAAGGGGGCTGGACTAGGGTGAGACCAGAAAAATGAAGAAGAATGGGGCGTTTGGACGAGCTATACGATGTGTGTCAGTGCTTACGTGTGGGTACTGGTGCGAATAACCGACTATTGTAGGCAAAAATTAATGCACTCATGAGCAAAATTAACAAAAACTCTTAGTGACAGCAAAAATAGCCCACGTTTTTCAGCCTTTTGTGGTAAAAAATTAGGAGGATCGCGGCAGCAAAAAGAATAACAGAGAACAAAAGAATAGGAGAAAATCATCGCCTTAATACTCGGCGTTCAGCTATTGACTGTGGATCTCAGAGCGAAAATTTGCAATCTGTATCGCCTTGGCACTCGTCTGACGTGACGTCGATGGAGGGCGGGAAGGCCGCGCGAGCCAGCAACAGGGCTTCCACTATGCCCCAACCGTCGAGTTTTTGGGCGCGAGAGTCCTTTCTATTACTCTTGCAGGCCATTGAATATTCCTAAGGAAGAACTCAGTAACCATTTTTATCGTGAACCGTGCCTTTAAAGCCCAAGGTCATCGTCATTTCCGTATATACTGCTGTACAGAGTCATTTTTGCTGCAGTACAGTGCACCAAATATGCCAGCACTAAAAAATGTTTTATTGGTTATCTACAAGAACTGTTCTGACTCCATACCCTATCACAAAGCAATTATCTAGGCGCTGCACAGAATTTGATGGTTCAAACCTCTGCACTCTAGTCCTTATTCCGTTCTCTATTTCCCGACAGTATACAGTGTGTTTCAAAAGTATGTGCACACCCAACTTTTTATTTTTTTGCGGATACCATTGCTTTCTGTAACTTGTGACCTTCACTATTCAATTCCTTGTGTGCGATAACCTACGAACACTTTCTCTAAGAAAACATCGTAGCTGCTAACATAATTTTTTATTAAAGGAAAATTTTTTCTTTGTTTCAAAAGTATGTGCACACTTAGCAAAAAGCAAAAATATAACCGAGATCAGAAATCAATAGGGCCCCCTAAATTTCTGTNCACCTTCTCGTAAAGATTATCTTTGAAGGTTTGTGCGGATGAATGTACCTGCGCCCTGTTTTCAGCGATATCTCTGAATGTGATGATCTCTTTTTTTCTCATCGTTAGCTCGTTTTACTTCATATTCAGCACGTCTGATCGCGTTCTCAACAACATCGTGTCGGCTTCTCCAAGCTCCTTAAAAGCATTATTTCAGCAAGCAATAGACTTCTATTTGTAAATTTTACAGGACTAATGACGAACCTACACCAATACTCAGCTACAGGAATTTGTAAAATGAGAGCGCTGCTTTTGCAAGTGACGATCTCACACCCACAGGAAAGCCTGCATCTTGTAATTTATCGAAAAAATCCTTTACGATTTCGCAGGAATAGACTACGTCATCGACGGACATGGTAGCCCTTAATCTGTACAAAACCAATATTGCTTTCCAGAGAAGTACATTAAGAATTTTCTACCTTTTTCTAGAACGCATTGCAACTAGCATAATCCTTCGAATATTATTAACATTAGGTTTACACGAATTCCTGACTTCTTGATGAAATTGCACATCGTCGCCTTTTCGCACAGCCACGGACTGTAAAATAACAGTTTTTTCTTTGGAGTTTGTAGACTTAGCTAGAAATTGACGAGAGGTAGCTAACCAAGAACTTCTACGCTTTCAAATGCAGTAAAAAAAAGTTAGGTGCAGATGGATTGAACGTGAGAGAGAACAAGTATTAGAAGTGCGGCGGACGTGCTGGGTCTATAGAATCAGGAAGCGCCCGTGAAGGAAGTTAGATGCAGTAGATGCCTGAGTTGCATGAACAGACAGTTTTCTGAGAATTTCTCTCCGCAGAATCGCTGAATTGTCCTAACACTTGGTACAGGTATGTCGTTCAGAATTCAGTAGTTGTTCTTACGAATAGATTCATGGAGCTTTTCTCACAGGTATTAATACTCGTAAAAAACTAAAAACTATCCCCATCTCCGTTTCAGGCCTTTGATTAACAGCACAAAGGTCTGCGTTTTAGCCGACTAGCCGAGATTTTTCAATTTCGCTGCAGTGTGTTGTAGTTCGCATATGGCTGAGACGTTTGGAGTACACTGTCAGCTGATGTTCGCAATGACATTTTACGAGGAATCGGATATGGAATGAAGCGGAAGTGGCAAGAATTTTCACGTTGGTAGGTCAACTATTTGCCCCTTCCTGAAATCCCAATCAAAGCAGTCTCAGGCTCACTTCCATCGACATCCAAAGGGAATTGGCCATTGATGGACGACAGATCTCTTAGACAGGAACTACTCGGAGACGTCTACAAGGTGCTGGATTTTTGAAAGACGTCCTACGAAGGAACCATTTATTTTTAAGAAGAATCGTAAAGCTCGTGTCAGGTTGGAGCAGGGGCATATCGGTTGGAATGGTCAGCAGTATGGTGGAGAGAACGTGCTTATTTAGGGGGGGCTGCTGTGGTCACGGGATCGAACCTCTTCACCAAATTCATGGAGTTTTGGACAAGTATGGTTAGGAAGACATCTCAGAAACAACTATGCGTTCATTTGCACTCCTGCAGAGGATTCATTCCACAGCAAGATGTAAATCGCAAGCACGCATACGACCACATGTGTGGTTCAGTTTTGTTTGAATAAATTGATCATATGGCTTTTGCTTAGTCCGAAGGAAAATAAATTTTGAAAAACGACAATTTCTTCAGTCTTGGCTAGAGTTCATTACCGATTTTTTGCAGAGAGCACAAAGGGAATAAAATGCAACTCAGGGAATGATCAAGTGAATTTCTGAAGGGAAGTTCCAAAAGCGTGGTTGTTCATGAAGTTTCGGCTCATAATGTACGTATATTAGGAGTAGACTATTTGACAAATTTGAAATGATGTAGAAGTTTTTTCTTCCGCTGAGCTCATGAATCCTTCAAGTTTCCGAAGCAACGAAAAAAATCTTTATACATCTAATTTCGTCGTGTTAAGCTTCGAGGTAGGAACCTATTATTGTAACCTGACGCTAGGGCGTGTATCACAGGTACACATACAGTCGCTCATCAGTCATCTTATTCACGGAAACTATGGAAAAAATTTTCATGCCCTGTACACACATACTTCTTCAATACTTCAGAATCCAATCCATTTCCATTCCCGGAAAAACCGATTTAGTGCGAAAAACCGAGAAGTGTTTCTAGTGCGTAGCTATTCCGCTGATGCTGAATTTTTCTCACCTACCTCCTCTCCTTCCTTAAGGGTTAGTTAAACATTGATTGAAATGATAGTGAATAATAACTCACCATATGCATTCGCGTAGTAATTCGAGACTTTGCCGCCTGACCTGACAGAAATGTGTACAGTTGGAGACGAACCACTCAGAACAAAGGTTTCTTAATGAAGCCTAGTGTAATTTAGCTCCTTAGTCTTTGAATTGCGCTGATCACCCTCTCACATTTGTTTTTCTGAGAAATTCCGAGTAACTTTGCAATACTGGATGTTGCTCAGTCCTGTTTTCTCAACAGTTTCGACTACTCATATAATACTCAACAAACCTGCCGATGCTCCGTTGTAAAACTGGATACTTTTGAACAAAATATTCTAGCACTCCTTCCTCTTCATTTCTGTTCAAGGTATCAAATTCATGAGCGAACATCAGTGTTTTGTCTGGTGCATCGTGAACACGTGGCATAATCAAATAACCTCAATTTCTTGCTAGTTCAGGTCATCACTATCTAATTCTTGCCCATGAGCAATTGAACAGCTCACCTCGATATTCGGGATCGTCAGCTATGTTAGCAGTGATGCACAAATTAGCTCTTGGTGTAAACGGCGCTCGCTGCGTCCGTGGTACCAATCTCTGATGAAGTTGTTCCTCCTGAAAAACATGATGGAGACTCTTCTATCTACTGACAAGACACTATGAAAGCTAACCTTGCTACGTAGCTTAGAGAGCGGCTAGGGGAAAGGAGCTGGTGTAGCTTAGAGAGCGGCTAGGGGAAAAGCTGGGTCACAAGTCCAAAGCAGATAGCGCTTCGTTGGATAAACAGATATTGCCGAGCATCGTGACTCTTGGGCTGTCCCCATTATCCCCACATCCACCAGCTGTTGGGCTACTTCCAAAGGCTTCACATGCAACTTGTGTGCCTGGTCCGCGACTTTGCTCATTCACTAGCCCGTTGAACTTCCCCTGCAGTTTTACTTTAGTCCTAGAACTAATGGAAAACAAATGACTTTTGACTCACCCACTATTTAATGTGTCGAATGATTGTGCTATGCAAGCTATATGTGAAATTCTCAACGAACATCAGAACTCAGTCAATCTATATGGCCTGTCAATACCACAGGTCGTGACAATCTTTGGAGAGTGCTTATCGTGCAACGCATTTAGATGGTCGGGTGAGTATTACCAGCAAATCAGAGGACTAGCGATGGCGCAAAGGTTTGCTCCAGTACTCGCAAAGGTACTTGATGTCGAAAACTGAGCAACCTGTTTTGGAGTGTAGACCCATTCTATACTGTCGGTATGTAGACTATTGCTTTATTGTGTGCTCCACCCAAGTGGAGATCGACACCTGTTTCGAATTGTTTGACCAACATTCGGAACATATAGAGCTTACATGGGAGAAACCGACAGACGACTGTCTCGGTTCCTCAATGTCCAGATTCGAATAACTGTGGGTACCTTTAGGACTAAATGGTATCGTAAGCCTACCAGCAAAAACAAAAACATACTTCCGTACCGCCCATCCATTTAACACCAAGAAGGCCATCATAAGGAATATGTTGCACACCGCCTCTCGAGTTTCTCCAGGATGCGAAGAGAAAACAGACTCGATAAAACAGGCGCTCTGCATAGCACAGGGAAACGGCTACGATACCTCAGGATTCCCGTTTCGACACAGGCCAAGGACGGTCGCACACAATCGTCAGGAGGAGGAGGAAGTTGCATTTTGTGTCCCTTTCATATCAGACGAATTAATTGCGGCCATACGATCATGTGTGAGAAGACAGGTCTTCAGGACGTGGTGAGAGTTGTGGATATCCCACCCTCGAACCTCAGACCGCAAGTGGTCCGAAATCGTCTGTATGACCGCCTGTGCACAACGCCTTCGTGTGTCACATGCCCATATAGTGAGGAGACTGCATGACATTTGGTGTTGTATATTTAATACCGTGCCTTCAGTGTAAAGGGGAGTATATTGGAGAAACAGGCAGGCCTCTTTGCATCAGAATAAAGGCATGCAAAAGTCGAGAACAGTTACTCCTCTGGGAGAACATAGGGTACGTTGTCGTGGAAACATGTGGTTCGAGATGACGGTCACGATAATATACGTGAATGCGATATCGCGGCGCAGCGAACTTTAGAGGCCTTTTGGATCATGGCTAAGGCTCCTAAAATTAATCGCAGGGAAGGTGCGTGGCGGTTACCACAGAGCTGGCGGCCTTCGCAGCACTATGTGGGCTTTGACATACGCTGTCGATCCCCCGCGAGGTCCTCTCGGTGGGGCGGAGTCAGGGGGCTTATAAGTAATCGATAGGAGTTGATTTGGAAGGGGTCAGCGGCGCGCTCAGCCTTGTGTGGCTTTTGAGGAGGCTTGATCTACGTAATCAGCCCCTCGGAGTTTCCTAAAGCGAGGCTCACCCTATTTAAACCTCAGTCCTACCAGCTTGGGGTGATCGGTAGACCACAAAGGTCGGCTATCCCACAGGTTAGATAACAACTTCCGACTTCCTACAAGTTTATGCCCTTTGAACTTTTTCTGTAGATTGGAATAGTTCTTGATCGAATGGTTTTTCAAATGCCTTTCGTCTTTCCAGGCTCCGAAGAAGGTGAGGGCACCGAAACGTCAGCCTAATAAATATTGTTGCAATCTCGGTTTAACAGTTCAAAAGATCTCAGAACTGTAAAGAAGTATGCCGAGATTTATAGAGAATCGCACATGGACAACTCTCATTTCAGTTGACCACTTGCCTCTCATTCAGACGGACTATTCGGGCAGTGAATTATTCTTTTCTCAAATGATATATGTAAGCCATATCATTTCGGACTGCTTACAATATGATAGGGCATGGGATATTCCAAAACCTAGAAGGAACCGTATGTATTCAACCGTACCCAATGTAATATAGTGGATACCATCGCACAAAACTCGAACTATTAGGGTGTCCATAAAGTTGGCCCAGTCCTCGATCACGCTGCAGTCCACATGTGGACTGCAGTGTCATCAATGGGTAAACGCTCTAGATCCATGGGGACAGGAACTATGAGATCCCGTCTAAACACTCATTTCGCGCAAACCCCGCCTCCTGTGGGCGGGGTCATCTTTCCACCCGCCATAAGTGTTACTATCCCGCCGCATGTATTCTCACTAAATTTGAATGCTCTAGGTTCAGTATGGGAGGAGTAATGAATCTCTTGTCAGACACACAACGCACATACACACACACAACGACGACACACTTTGCCGATTATAGTATGACCCCTCCAAAATTTGGAAAATGCCAAGAAGACGACTCATTCATTTTGCTGAAAACTGATGTCTATGGGACATGTAAGGAGAGGAGGAGTGCTGAGTGCAGAGCTAGTTCGTTAAATGAACCAATCACCATACTTTTTTATCACTTTATCGTTGTCAGCCCATTTGAAAATTTTTGAGAGTCAGTTGGGATGTATAGAAATTATATTCTACAAAAATTTTCAATAAATTGAAGTATATGAGCTTATGAACAAGGTTTTTTTCGATGTACTACACTGTCATGGTACTGTAATCTCAGGAAATGTCACGACCAGATTGTGGAACTTTTGAGGCCGAATGGAGCAGTCTAAATGAGTTAAAGTTTATGGCTCTAAACTCGGGAACGGCGCTACGGAATAGATCGGAACATAAAGGAATATAAGGAAAGTAGAACTTTCATAACTGTGCAAGAGCTGGCAGATCCCAAGTGAGCATATCTACAGTTTCTGATTTTAAACACATTAAGGTGTCTGAAGAAACTTTAATGTGTTTAAAATAAGAATTCTCTCTTCCCGGAACCTCGACAAAATATAGTTCTGCTAGACTAAGCGGAAGCTGCTTTCGTCTCTTTCTACGCAACAACTGCTCAAACGATGGGATAGGATATTTGCCTGCTGCCTTCAAATAGTTCCAAGCCATCACAAATCAACTTAATTCGTCCAAGTCCCTACATGCATACGCGGCGGTCTACATGGAAATGAGTACTTGTCATCAATTAGAAGATGCGGACACTATGGAGTATAAAACCTACTTGCTCTCGTTTAATGTCTCGGAAAGCTCCTGTCCTTCTCGCTCTCGAGCCCGACTACTCTTTGTATACCGACTCTATAAAAAAACGACGTGTACGGGAATATTATAGGTTGTTCAAAGGACACTCCCAAACGTTTCAAGACAACAACACCCACTCTCGCAGCTGGTGGTTCATATACGCCCTTGAATTCCCTTTTCTTCAATCCTGTTCCTGCATAGAACTTTTCTGGCATACCAAACCGGGAGTGTAATGACGTCCTCTGCCTGAACTCTGTGAATGAGAATGAAGCATCTGGTAAAACATACATAGCCCACAGTTCGCAGCAATTATCAATGCTGTAGAGTTGGAGTTGTCTTTGAGCGATCGAATAAAACCGATAAACCTTTAGCCCACATTCAGAACGCACGTTCAATACATCAACTTGCCTGTTAAAACGTTGGAAATACTCAAAGCTTTTATAGTCTGTATCCATGTCAGTGTACTTCTTTGTTGGAGTTGACGTTGATGTTACACGGACATAAGAACTATTGAACATAATCCGGCGTGGTACTGCTAAAAACAGAACGACTTTAATGAAGTTCATGTGAAAGTTACAGCCTTTATTGAACGAATGCTTAGGTTCTCCTCTTCTGCTATTGCTTCATTCGCAAAAATTATTATTTCATGCAAAGTTACTACCACAGCCAAGCCAAA